TGTGTCTTGCTGGCCAGAGGCAGATAAGGTTAAAATACATTGCTGTTGAAAGCAGCAGAGCAGAACACTTCTGAAGGGAAAAGCATCCCAAAAGGCAACTAGTTATGTTAGCGTGGTGCTAGGATAAGGAGAGAACAAATCCTTTTTTATTCATCTCAGAAAGTTAATTTAAAATGGCCTCATGAGGTGAAGTGCCAAGATATTAATACCTATTGCACCACGAGACCATATTATAAGTGACATAAACATTACAAAACAATCTGAAAATTGGCCAGGCTGTTAATAGACAGCATTACACAATTCCTGACATAGCTAGATAATACTGCACTTCTACTATGCAAATTTTTAACAGTGAATAGATTTTGAAAGGAGTTTACACCCACCACCACTCAGATGCAACTCAGTAATTCAGTATTAGGTGCCAAGCTGTCAGTTACAAGTCACTTCAGCCCACTGCTATTCTCTAGTCTACCTTGTTATCCCAAAGAAGCCATCAATGAATGCCATTAGATTAAAATGTATGAGCCCTACTTGAACCTATTTTTAAGCTTGTAAACTAATACTGCTGTTTTATTAATAGCTTTCATTTCTTGTACCACTGATACTGGTCTTCTACTAAGGAAATAATGTAATGCCATGACCTTTTGTATTTCTGGAGCAAAGCTCTGTTCTTAAGGCATTTTTATCCATATTAAAAAGTCATTACACCATGGGGATCCATCAGAAATCTTGCTTAGAAAAAGGAAGGGAAAAGAAGCACAGAGTTGGTACTTGGGGCTTGATTCACCTTATTGAAGCACATGCTTTGCTGTGGGTACACAAGTAGTTGTGTGTATGGCTTCCAGAGGTGGCAGTGGTGGAAACACACACACTCACTCTGACAGTGCCTCCCATCCAGTGTTCTCCTTGCATCACAACACAGACACTGTGAGAGAAAACAGCTCAGAGGCCTGATGTGGCTGAAGAACAAATCCTACTTTTCCTTCCTGGGCTGTATTCTTCCCCAGTTTCTGTTCTGCAGCCAGTCCACTCCTCTGCTTACAGCTGAAGTGTTCTGCTAGTGCCCAAGGGCACAACACAGAGGACAAGTAAGTAGGAGCACAAAATGAGTGCCAGGAACCACTAGCTCCTGCTTGTGGCAACTTCCCACCAGAAAATAGTTCTGATTTTACTTCTCCCTCTCACGAACACAAAAGTCTCAGCCTACCAACTCTCCTAGTACCCTCTCCTGTATCCTTTAATGCTTTAAATGTGCCATGCAAAGGCTTGCACGTTGTGTGGAGTATCTCTGAACAATGGGAAGGAAAACTCTGGGCACTGCAGGATGCAAAGCACATCTGTGTCTCCACAGAAACCTGCTCAACACCTACTGCAACATCAAACTTCTCTCCCAGATGACCACAGTGTTGAACCAGAAAATTACCAGGAGACTAAAACCAGGGACAGATCAGTCACACTGTTCCTACAGACAGCAACTGAAAATAAAGAAGCATGGTTTTGTTTCAGAAACTTGAGGAATGCTCCTGTTTGTGTCTGCAGCCCATCCTCCAGAGACCTTGTTGGGAGCTGGGCTCTTGGCACTGAAGTCCTCTTATGCCCCCTCTTTTGTCTAATGCTCTGCCTTTGTTGTTGTGCCTCTGCTACTGCACATACAGCCCCTGGTCACGAAAATGGACCCACTTAGAGCCACTAAGTGTGACAAAAAGCAGATAAGAGCCCTGAATAGGACCCCAACTCCTCCTCAGTCTGAGTTTTAGAGCCAGAGCAAAGGGATGTGCAGTTCTGCCTGCAAAACTGTCAAGTACAGAAACATGAAAGGCTGTAAATAATTCACTCTATATTACAGGAAATGTTTTACAAATGAAAAGGTTGTAACCTCTTTTTGGCTACAAGCCTGGCAGATGCTGGAGGCATCCCTGCCTCTCTGAGTGCAGAACAAGATGTGCCCTGTTCATGAGCTGATGAACCATTCTTGGTTCTCAGCCCTCCCCTGCACTGCTCAATGAAAACTGCTCCTGCCTCCCTTTCTGATGGGTGGATCACAAAGCAGCAAAGCCTGCAACACTTCCAGAAATGCAACTCAGGCTGACTAGCAATTTCTTGTATTCTGATGACACAGCTGCTGCAACGCACAATGCAGAGCTCAGATAACATAAGGAGAATGGATAAAACTGAATTATAATATATAAATATTTATTTAAACACATTCACACAATTGTTTAAAGACACAGACACACAAACTAATAATATGCATGCAGTTAATGCAGATGACTCTATAACTATTTGATGCAGTCTCAAACCAGTGACATCAGTCAAATCCAGCAGAAATAAAATCATCTCCAGCCTCAAAGGGGTGGCCACGTGGCAGAGTAAAGATTCTGGCCCAGCATATGGAAGCAATTCCAAAAAGACACAACATTGCTTCAACATCTTATCACTAAACATTTTGCAACACACTAAACAAACCTCAGCAGAGGTCCCCTGCCCTCTCCCCCACATGGTTAGTTGGCAGCCAAACACAAGGATGTTTTGTATCTAAAAGAAAAGCATATAGAACTCACCTGTATGTTGCCAAAGTCCACGTTTTCATAATGGAAATGTGCACATTCGGCCATCTTCGGGAAATGACCCTTTGTAAAGGATAACCTGAAGCACATCAAAAGCCCAACATCAGACAGAGGCAAAGCTTGGAAACAATGCTGCTATAAAATAAAAATGACTTGCTCATCCAAAAGCCAAGGGAGCAGAGGGGTTTGCTGATGTGATGCACCAAAACAGTGGAGAACAGAACTGAGTGAGAAAGGAAAACTAAACAGCCAAGTGGTTTTTCTCAGCGCATCCTTAAGGAACTGGGTGGCAATTCCATCAACACCACAGCCCACAGCTTGAGGAACTGGTGCAGGGACAAGCTGCTTGACCTTCACAAATGCATTCTGCAGTGCAAATACACAGCCTTACACGAGACACAAAGGAAAGGAGAACTTTACCTGTGAAAGGCATCACAGCCCATCAGTCCCGGGTTGATGTATCTGAGGGTGCAGAACAAACGCTATTTATTTATCCTTTGCCTTTTTAAAATTCAAAAGTGAGGCATAATTATTCCCAAGTGTTTCCAGTTACACTGATGGCTGATGGGGAGATCCTCTGGCTCTGCAACATGCTCTTGCTTCTGCTGAAGCTATTATAGACTCCTATAGATATTTCTGGTGGTGAGCCAATGAGATTGTCATTATCTAGCTCTCTCTTCCCACGGGAATAGAAGTGGGAAGTGAGATGCTGCATCTGGCTGCTCAGCAGTGGAACAAAGAGCCATTTCCCTTACAGCATCAGAGCACTAGAGAGGTGATCTGAATGCACAGATCAATCAATACTGGGGAGCTCTGGTCCTCAAGTCAGCACTCTTAGCAAAGACAAATCAAGTAATATTGATTGCTTCTGATCCCCTGGCAGGTCAGAGGGTTGAAAACTTAGCAGCAAGCAGAATAAGCTAGTTTATATTCTCTGGGAGAGAAAGAGAGAGAAAGACAGTGCAAGCCCACAGAAAAAATAAATATCCCCATGAGGGAAGAAGAAAAAAATGCCCTTAAAAAAGAAAAACAGTTCAAAACCCATTCAAATGAAGAGGTACAGGGCAGAGTGCAAAAAAAGGAGAAGAGAGAAAATACCAAATCAAAAAATATATCTGGGCCACCCACTTGTCCTGGTTTAGCTTCCCAGAGCATAGGAAGACATGAAAAAGGATCTCATTTATACATTCCCCTCTCCTTAGGTTTCTTTATATATAATGTTCTTTAAAAAAAAAAAAATTTTAAAAAAATCAATTTTAGGAAGAAATCACAAAAATTTAAAAATACAGCAACAGTGAGGTTTCAAACTTTTATATGCTTTTCTTCTATGGTCAGAAACAGGTGAAAGCACCAACCAAACTTCTCATATCCCCAGTTTTAGACTATATTAGCTATGATTTACTTTGTTCACATGCATCTTAGCAGCTCAGATGAAGACACTATTGAAAACTGGTGCCAAATGCCCCAGCTGTATTGCAGCACGATAGCTAAAACCCAGGATAGCAACACTGGAAGCCCAGCAAAGACAGGAATATCAAAGAACACTGTTCTTACTTTTTTACATTCTTCACTTTCATACTTGCTGTGCTGCCACAGGTCCGGAGAGGCAACTCCCCTGGAATGTCAGGGATATCTGCACCTCTTGCCTGCAAAAAAGAGGAAAGAAAAAGCAAAAGAACTTCAAATTTGACTGCACGTTATAGATCTCTGCCTGTATATTTTTACATAGATGTATAAACACAACTCAAATCTCACACGTGCTAGAAGCTGTACTTTCAACAAGGAAAACTGAACCTCAGGGTTCTGACCTAGTACATGAGGTCTTCCTGAACCACATCACAGAGCCTTGTTAATTCTGAGCAGCAACAGGGAGATCCCATATTTTTTCGTCACTACTGGTTTCTCAAGAAGAGATTTTCAGAAGTAGGAGTCTAATAATCATTCCTAACTCCATACTTACACTCCTCATTAAGTACCTGATTTTCCAAACATCTGTGCACTTGGATTCAGGCAGAGGCACCAGAAGCAGCTGAATAGCTCAAATAGTGGAAAATCAAGTTAATGTTTGAAGCTACTGGTGAGTGCATGAGCAAATTAAAATTCCTTAATCACTAAAATGATTTTATTTTGGTGAGGCCAGAACTCCAATCTCCCTCTTTTAATGTGTCTGTCTTGCTTTCCCATCCTCTCCTTCCCTCCAGCTGCTTTTCCACAAGCTGTGAGTTCTGCTGGGATGGCACCCACCATCAGCACCATCTTCTCTTGCTGTGCTGTACCAGGCTCTAAGCTCCAGAAGAATGAGGGAGTTAAGGTGAGGCTTTTCCAAAAGGAGCAGTGATCAAACAGGAAGATAAGCAGACACTTGACAGAGAAGGAGAAAAACACGGTCCCCAGTGCTGGCCAGAGACAGCTCATTAGTGATGTGGGTAAGATCAGTTGAAGGAGCTTTTTATTCTGCACTACAAAACTTGCATAACGTCCAAAACAGTGAATGCTCAAGCAAGAGAAGAGACGCACTTCAGTGTTCCCCCTCTCAAAGGCCTGGACCAAAAAAGTATTACATCAAATCCCTTTTCTGATGACAGGAGTAAACAGATGAGTTCCCTGATCCAGAAGATCAGTACCAGTGCTTCCAAGCTGGTCCACCAAAGGATCTCTGAACAGAGACAACCAGTTCCAAAGGTGTTACATCTCATGGAATGCAGCTGGAGGCAGCACTGCAAAATACAGGAACACCTTGATCCTCAGCCCTGAAACTTTGGACTCAGACAATGACAATTCCAGCTAGCAACCCACAAATGGGACAAACCATGAGGGAATCTTTCTCATGCCCCTCCCTGAAGCTCTCATTTTAGCTTGTCATGGGTCAAATTTACATCTGCTTCACCACATTACAAAGAGCTGCAATAAAAAAGTCAAAACCATTCAGCAAGCCCATATTCATTAACCAAGAGCAACAGAGCTAGAGGGAGTGAGTGATTCATCCCACTCAGCTCTAGACAAGCAGGAGGTCCTCAGCTACAACTGTGTTATGTACCTCAGGCTACTTTTACAGTCACCAGAGATAAATAGGCACTTTGGGTCTGGTTCAACTACTTCAGCCAAGATGAGGACAACAGCAACACTTGCAGGGTATCTGTTTCTCCTGGCTCAGATGCAGACACACAACATAGACACCTGCCTGTGTCCAACCAACATCCCTGAGGCTCATGGACCACTTCAGCAGAGCATGTTCTCTGCACCCAGACAAAATCCTGCTATGGGCAGCACTGCCCTTGGAAAAGGGATGCTGCAGCTACTGTGAGTGAGCCCTCCCCTTTCAACATCACTGAGTGAATATGAAGCCAGGACAGTCACTCTGCCAGTTCTGCCTTTCACAACCCTACACACCAGCAGTGCTTTCACTCCATCGTGCCACAGCTGCACAGAACATGCACACCCACTCACTGCAGAAAAACAGGGACAATATTTATATCCTTAAATAAACCTATCCTTGGCTGACTGACTGCTACTAGGCACACAATTACTTTAGTATGCAATAGGACACTTGAGAGTCTCACTGTGAATTGTAACATTTAGAGGATCACCAATTGAATAAACCTTACAGGTCTTTTACATAAGAAAATAACTAATTACAGTAATAAATGTGCCACTCCTGTGAGCTGCTTGTAGGCAAAGCTGGATGAGCTTGCCTTCATTTTCTAAGGAACAGAATTTCTGTAGGAAGAAAAATTACTTCTCCATCAGCAGTAGAAGCTGGTGGGATGTAAAAATGGATAAACAAATGTGACAGAAAAATGTGGGCTTCAAGCCAGTTTGCAGCAGTGGGTAGAGACTACCCTGGATCTGACTCAAAGCAGCGTAGGCAAAACTCACACCTCCAGGAGACATAAATGCCAGCACCTCTCTTTGAGTAAGTTCTATTATCCTATTTTCCCAGTTATATCCACATTGTGCTGGAATAAGTTATCAGTCTCTCCCATTTCTGACAGAAAGTATCCATTTAAATGGACTACAATGAGATGCAATAGTCATTAACTTCTGTTGCTTTTCCAAATAGAACTGAGCTCCCCGGACTCTGCTGCAGAATAACAAGTTCTTTTAAGTGCCACAGTTGAGGAGAAAGGGCAGAATGGTGATCTTGGGCAAACTGAAATCTTTAGTAGGAGGTTCTGACACCAGAAAAAACTTGGTGAATAGAGAGATAAGCAGAAAAGAAACTTATTGCAATTTTAGAAACCATATTTCTGAAAAAAAACCAGCAACTACTTCCCATTTCAACCAGAGACACAGCTACACCAAAGCCTACTTCATTCAGCATTAGTACCTGTTTTGATCCAAAACCTGGCATGCAAAATTACCCTCCTCACAAAACACTCCAAATGAGATTTGTCATCTTTTATGCTTTGTGTCAGAGTAATTTAATTACAAAAATAATTTTGAAACAGTTGAATTCTTTACATCTGAATCTTAGTTACCTAGCATCAGCAGTTCTTCTCACTTCCCTATTTCCTATGCATTGCTGTTCTGTGGAAACCCAGTAATTGCCTGGCAAATCTGTTTATGCAAATTATTTAGTCCAATTTTTACAGCTTAATGTCACTGCTCCATCAATCTGCTTTGGTCTAAAAGTAGGTAAACAAATTAGGACTCCATCTCAAATGCAGTCTATTGACTTCATCAGGATCCTCAGACCTCTTACATTTCCTCTGAAGGCTTTTAAGCAGCAGCACCAGTCTCCCCTGCATGTGGAGCAGTAGCAGTTGGGAAAATATTTGAGAATTTCAGTATTTTGTAACAGACACCTACACTGATTGCCAGGCAGGTGGATCCCACTAAAACCTTGCCCTAATTCTGGGAGAACATCTGCCTGTCTGTCCCACTCCCTGATGGATACTCATTCCATTTTTAAACCAGCACAGCCAGTTGCTTTCTGGTACCAGGAGGACTCCTGAAGCAGCTCCATCACTTGTGCCATTTTCAATTGTTGCTGCTTATGTCCCTGGGAACCAAAGAGCTCTCACAATTCCAGGTATGTTTGAAATTTTTGGTCTTTATATTTATAGACATGATTTGGAAAACTTCAGCTTTGTGCTCTCCAGCCCACAAAACCTTATTCATAAATAAATTATATCTAGTATAATATGAAAGGATTTTCTCATTTAAAGTCTCACTGCATTTATCAGAAAACATGTCAACCTGTCTCACTCACATCCAGCAACAGAACAGAATCTGAAACTACACACAGAATTGAAGAAAACAGTCCAGTGAACATGATGTGATACCATCTTGGTATCCTCACCAGGGGAGAATACTGAACCAGTGCAAACCCCAGAGCTGTCCTGCTCCTGCCACAGACTTACAGTGGGATGCACGAGAAGAAATGGTGAATCCCACAAAGCTCCAGTAATCCCCTAAGTGGCAAACTGGCTTTCCACAGTACTACTGTAAACCCTCTGAGGAGGTCCCATATACAGACATGGATACACCACAAGACTTGACAGGTCAGCACGTACCTTCACTACTGAATTCAAGTGGGATTCTGAAAGCCAAAGTTTGCCCTTTGTTAACACAAAGCAAGAATAACTATTACACAGGCAGCAGCATTTATGCATCTTCCTGCCATCAGTCTCTCACCAAATCCTGTACGGAGGGACCAGATTGCTCTGGATCCCTTCAGCAAATGGTCTTGTTTCTAAAAATGGCAGAGCTGATTCAAAATGCTTCCTGGTTTCCATGACAGTCTTACTTTTACATCATCTTCATTTCACCTCAATTTTCTTGGGGAGGGAGGCAGAAGAGGAAAGGGGAAAAAACCACAAATACCATCACAAAACCTCCCCAAGCTTTCCAAAAAAAGTTTCTTTACTGAGAAACAGCAGGACACAGAAATCTTGTTTCAGAAAGTGTCATTACTCTGGGATGAGTAACAGTCTTAAGTGACAGGTTGACCTGGTCAGTTGACACAATCCGACATCTGAGGTGGGTGTTTAATGCACAAGGACACCAACATCTATTTCATGTCCATGCAGCACAAGGACACCAATATCTATTCCAAACCCTGGAACCAACCAGCTGCACAACGCTGGCTCAGCATCAACTTCCTTGCAGAGCTTACTTTGCAATGTTAAAAAGCAACTGTCCTACAGAAATGCCCTGATCACTAGGAGGTAAAAGCTGATGGCTCCATTAGCACCATCCTGCTTTTACCAATTACTGCTCCAGAGTCAGCCTGAAGCACAATGAAAGAAGAACTATGGGTCATCTCAGCTTCATCCTCCACAGCCACTAAACACTGCAGGGAGAGAAAGCTCTCTCTGCTCTTACTTCCTACATTGTAACAACCATCCTGGTTCTCCACAAGTGATTAATCAGTGAAGCAAAGGAAAAATGCTTTCACTACTCTGGAAGTCACCATGTCTGAGCTACGAGAAAGAGCTCCAAACGAAAGGTCCCCATTCCACAGCGTTGATCTATCCAAGCACTATCCCTAAAAGCATTAAAACGTAGCTGAGCACAAGGAGGCTGCAGGTGGGTCATTTGTCTGAATGGAAGAAATACACAGTAAGTGATTAAGATACAATATTAATCCAAAAATGCCTGAGGAACCACAGCAATATGATGAAAATGCAAGTATTTGCCAAGC